TTTTCTGGTTTTGATTTTTTTCTTTCTCTAAAAAAAGTAAAAAAAAAAATTTATATAAGGTGGAGTTTTTTTTTTTTTTTCAACAATTAACAGTGAATTTTTATTGATGGAATGAAAAGATCAATACAACAAACACAAAACGAAAAACAAAAACTAACAAAAACAGAACAAAAAAAAAAAGAAGGGAAAAACCAAATACGAGAGGTAGGGGGAGAATGAAAGATGCAGCTCACATCTCCACCCTACCTGTAGCCAACGTTGATACACCTCCATTCTTCTCCTGATTGATTTGAAGGAGAAATAGGCTATTTCGACATTGAAAAATCTCCTAATTGATCATCACTACCTAGAGATGTATGGATTTGAAAGAAAAAAAAAAAAATTTATTCCTAAAACCAATGCATCTTGCAAGGAATTATCTGGATGGACTATTTTCAAGATTTTCATGCGCTTATAAATCAATTTGATTTGACCATTCGTAAAATTTATAATTAAAAATGATAAAAATTTCTAAGACCAGAATTTTATTTTTTAAGAGAAAATTTGAGGACGTCTTATTTAAATTGTTTAAGATCGCAAGTTGCAACCTTATGAAAACTTCACCCCTAAAAAAAATGGGGTAAAAACAAAATTAAATAAATACATATAAATATAGGTAAGCAAGACCCGAGGCCATGGGTTCTTGTCCCCATTTTCGTCCTTATCCACTGGATTTCCGCACGTGTGGGTCCTATTCCCATTGTTGGCCCATATGCGCACGTGGGGTGACGCGCACACGATTGTTTCTCTTCCTCTCTCTCTCAACCATTCGCCTTATCCGTCGGCTTTGCACGTGTGATGTTGGGGTGTTTGGCACGAGAGGTTGTGCACGTGCTGGTACATAGCACGTGCGAAAGGCCCACTAGTGATAGAGGTGGCAGGTGAGATTAGACAGAAGGTCTCGATCACGCGTGGCTTTGAAGTGAAGACAGCTCTAACCGCACACGTGTATGGATTGAACTGGAAAATGACCACCAACATTCTCTTCAAGACTCAGTAGAGTTTTTCTTATTTTTTGGAGGAAGAATATCATTAAAGGGCAACAAACCTTTTAAAAATTTATTAAAAAGGTTAAATTATTTTTATTATCATTTTATAGTATACTTTTCTTTTATTCACTATTTTTGTAAAAAAATTTAAAATACCCAAAATTGAGTTTATCTAGTATTTAGAACTAAAAACAATAAAATGTATTTAAGTAATTTGACCCCAAAGAGTATTCAAACGAACCACAAAAAATACATCTAGTTCTTTCGCATTACAAGTAAGAAACACTTAGGAATAATATGGAACAACTATAGGTATTTTTGTCATTTGATATACCCAAAACTTTTAAGTGTAAAATAACAAAAATAAACTTAGTAGTTCTGCATTACTAATACTCAACAATATATCTCTTATATTTGTAGTGCGGAACAACTAAGGATAATTTCATCATTCAATAGGGATGGCAATGGGCCCAATTAAGTTCAGGACCCAACCTCAGGTTCAGGTATGGATCCAAATTTTGGACCCGAATACTATGTGGATCCAGGTCTGAGTCTAGTTGGACCAGACCCGTACCCGTAGTCATAGGGTATATGATAACAATCATGTGTCTTTAAGCGTACGCTAGGTGTTCATATTCTTACAATATTGACAACATTTACAGCATTATTGGCAAAATAAAAATAAAACTCATAATCATAGAGTATATGATGGAAAAAAAAACAGACAAAAAAATAATAATATGCTCATAGTCATAAGGTGGCAATGGATCCGACCAGACCCGGGCTCGGGTATGAGGCCAAATTTGGACCACAATACTATTTGGGTCTGAGTCTAGGTTCAGCCGGATGCAACCCATACCTGACTTGTTACCACGCCTAACTATTCTGCATTACTAATACTCAGCAGTATATTTTTTATATTTGCAATGCAGAACAACTAGAATTATTTTAATCATTTAATTGAGGCCTCTTAAGGGTCCAACTAAGACGCCCATAATTGTTCTATATTCAAAATACCAAATAAAGATAATTTTTAATATTTTAAAAAAATTCATAAAAAAATATCTAATTGAAATAAAATTAAATAAAAAGCATTACCCTCAAATATTATCACTATAGGGGTTTCATGATATTTTCCCTTTTTCTGGATGGACTATAGATTTGATAATGTCTAGTTCTCTCTCTCTCTCTACTGTCAACGTTCATCTCTCTCTACAACGTCCGCCCTGCGTAGGTAGAAATGCAGGACTCTTAAAAAATCTATATTTTGAAATAGATTTTAAGACTTACTTTTTAAGGATTTCTAATCTCTAACTTAGAGATCATGATTATGAATAAATAGATAAAATTAAAAAATTAAAAATAATAATTTTAATAATAAAACATTTTTGATTGTTAGTTTTCATTATCACTTTTTTGAATGGCCAATATAGAAATGCGGTCCAGCCCGCATTAAACAACTTTCCTTTTGTTTATCTTCAACGTTCCCTCTCTATTGGGCGAGTCTTATCGTACTCGCCGAGTATCGTCGGATCGCCTGTTATCCGGATGTCCATGCTGATCTTGAAAAGACCACAGTGCCCATGTTCGGTGATGCTGTTATCGTAGGTGAAACCATCATTTACGTGAAATTGTATGGGTAATTTTGACTTTTTACGGATGCCTCAGAGGTGCTTTCCTACTGACGCACGGCATCGGTGGGCCTACGTGTCGGTTTCCTAGTGGCCCACGTGTCTCCCGGAAGAGCATGGCGAAAGGTGCCCATGCATGGGGGTGTCCGAGAGAGAAAGAGAAAGGAGAGTTTTTAGAGAGAGAGAGGGGTGGTGATCGAATAAACACACGGATACATGTCCCCATTGCTCTGCTGTATATCTCAAGGACACTCCTCTGTCTCTCTCTTGGCATTATTCTCTACCCTCCCCGAACTTAATCGAGATTTCTCTTTCGATATCGAGAGAGAGGGGATGGCTCTTGACCTAGTGGTTGGGGCATGGGGATTGTTCAATTGAGAGAGATTTTGTGAGTTTATAGACGTTGGAGATTTACCTTAAAATCTGACAACTTGAAGAGAGATTGAGCCCATCAAAAATAATACAAGAGAGAGAAAGAGGGAGAGTTGTCTCCCTGCTTAGAGAGAGAGAGATTTGTCTGGTTACTTGGCAGGTTAAGTATTTTAAAAACAATCTAAATATATATATAAGTATTGATAGCTAATACTTTTCAATCTTTGTCAAAATAATAAAAAATATACCAAAAATATATTTATAAACAAATTTCTTATTTTTTCCATCTTTTATTAATTTTATGTGAATTTTTTAAACTTGAGTACTTGATTACTAAAACTAGACTGGCCCACGAGCTGGTTCTGGGTAACGCGGCCAGGTAAGGTTCGACGTAGTCTAGCAATTGTGGAATTGAGAGAGAGGGAGTCCTTCAAATAAGCAAATCCAAATCCAAATCAAGAAGTAGCCTTCTAAGAGACGGGGAGGGGGGGCGGGGGTGTTGAAGGGTAGAAGCGTAAATAGAAGACATTGCCAAGGGCATTTATGGCATATTCAACAAGGGCACTTCTGTCATTCGCCAGGACAAAGCCTGTGGTTATTAGCTGGAGCTGGTCGATCCGTGGTCCGGGAACAGCAGACAAGTCACTAGCAGTATGTAATTCCCGCATTAGATTTGGGTCAGGGTCATTTTCGTCATTTTTTTCGGGCCATTTCAGTAAATTTTTAACATTGAAGCCGGGACATTTTGCCATTTCAGCATACACATATGTAAAAGTCCCTCAAAAAATTTGCGTTCTTTTGTAAAAATATAAAAAGGTACAAGGCCGTGAGCTCTAAACAATCAAATTAAAGCACGCCTTCAAATAGTATCGAGAAATATGATTTCAGAAAATCCTTGTAATAAATTTAAATTTTATTTTTATATTTAATTATAAAATTTAAACATTCAAAGATCAAACAAATCTATAAAAACTTAAAAATTTTGTCCAAAAATGGTTTCAAAGATACAGTATTTCCAAAACTCATATTTTATCAAAACTATACATCTTGAGGTCAAGATGAACTCATATTTTATCAAGACTATACATCTTGAAGTCAAGATGATCAACTGGAAGAAGTTTTAGCATGAAAACAATCTCTTAATAATAATTTTTTTTGAGATGCGTCTTAATTTGATCGTTTAGAAAGTCCTGGCACTTCTATAAAAGGGCCACAATTTAAGTTTTGCATATAAATCACTGCCCTTTCCAAGAGTAAATACTAGTCTTTAAAATGCAAGTTTTGATCCAAATCATTAGGATGAGAATAAGTTGGGACTGAATCGGTAATGGAATGGTATAATCCGACCATGGTCCCCAACTTATAATTTTCTTTTTTTTTTCTTTTTTATTAAAGTAAATATAAAAAAAGGCAAGCCCACCAAGATTTCTCGTTTTTTTTTCATCTGATATTTTTTTACATACCCCTTAAATTCCCACCCCATAAACCCTAATTTTATGTTGTTTTTAATATTTTATATTTTTATTATATCATAGACTGACAAAAATATATGGGCGAACAATGCTCCTCACTAATCCCGGTTTTAAAACACCAGTAAATACAGATCTAGAGTTCTTGGTAAAAAAAAAATACAGATCTAGAGTGAAAAAATAGAGACCCGTCATAAATGTGGGCTCTTTTCTTACGTTTAGTTACCATGCATAAAGAATATAAATATTTGGCGAAAAGTAAACAAATAAAGGGACAAAAGCCATAAGAGAGAGAAAGGAGGTAACCTCATATATATATATGTTCATATATTAAACGATGACGAGAGAATCGAACAATTTTTTATGTACATATACAGCTCCTTCCGAGGACACACATGGGGGCCTTAACAGCTCGAATAAATAGGAGAGAGAGAGAGAGAGAGAGAGAGAGAGAGGAGAGACGTACTAAGTACGTACGTAAATAAGTAGGAGAGAGAAGAGAGAGAGAGAGAGAGAGAGGAGAGAGCCTTAACAGCTCGAATAAATAGGAGAGAGAAAGAAGAGAGTTATACGAAGCCAACCCAATCACGCGTGATCGATCGCTCAGAGGACAGAATCTAGTGTGCGATCACCTCGTGGAGAGAGAGACCTAGAGAGAGAGAGCATGACCATGATACGACCCACTTTGGGAAGTAACCGTGTGGCTTCGAGGAGAGAGAGCGGCTCATTGGGCGTGAGAAAGCACCACCCACGATCGAGAAACACCTGTGTCGTACATGTGGAGAGAGAGAGAGAGAGCAGTACCCTGGATTAATTTAGTGAGAGAAAGATTCGCACTCTCTCAAACCCAAACATGTCCCCACCACAAAAAAAACAAACCCATTTCCTACTAAAAACAAAAGAAAACAAAAAACAACAAAACTCTACGCCCCAATCCCTTCGCCCAAAAAACCGAAAAAAAACACTAACCTCATAAGCCTCTCTCTCTTCCCTATCACTCATGGTTAGCTCTATGACCACAACCACTCACAAATGAGAGCCAAGCTTCTCTAGTGTCTCGAACCCACTACCCATTAGGCTTAAGTAAGGCTCGGTCCGGTGAGCAAAGCTCTCGAACCCACTCATGCCCAACGTTCTCGCGAACCCACTCTCGGTCTAACCGACTTTCGGTCAATCTCAGTGATCTACCGAACCCACTTTCCCAATCGATCTCTGAACCCACCCACTCTCTCACTCGATCTCGGTAAACCTACCTAACCCACTTTTGGTCAGTCTCAATTAATCCATGGAACCCACTTGAACTCACTCCTGCTCGAACCCAGTCAATCCATCGAACAATTCTACCGTGGTGGTTCAACACCAACGTACCCAACTTGGGCACCGAGCTCAATCCACCACCATTCATAATCCACCCCTTGAACCCGAGCTAGCCCACTTGCGCATCAAGCTCAGGCAACGGTTCGAACCCAGCGCACCCAGCACTAGGCTCGCCTCCAGCTTGCAACTCCTTGAACATAGCCATGACCTGTATCATAGTGGGCCTCCTCCATGGCCTGTCATCCAAACAAGCACAGGCAATCTTCAAATGTTGCAAAAGCTCAACCTCGAGCTCTTGTGGGCTCGCACCCTGTACCGATCCAGCTTCTAGAAGCTCCTTATCGAAGACCTCAGACACATGACCAGCCCGCGCTTGCTGCCGAACCCACCCCACCAAATTGTTGTCGCCGAAGTCTGCTGAATCGGTGGGCCGCCGGCCAGTGAGAAGCTCGAGTAGGATGACACCATAACTGTAGACGTCTCCTCGAGCACTGCAGCGAAAGCTTTGGTAGTACTCCGGGGGCACATAACCGGGCGTTCCTGCAAGTGTGCTTACACTCAAGTGGGTCTCCATGGCACTCACCAGACGCGCCATCCCAAAGTCTGAGACCCGCGCCTCGAGCCCTTCATCAAGGAGGACATTGCTCGATTTCATGTCCCTGAGTTAAAACAAGGTTTAGATAGTGCAAGGTGTTAGTGTGAACAATGGGGCGCTACCGTTATATCATTACTCACTTTGCTCGGTGTTTATTTGGATCGTGGTAGTAAAAAGAGAAGCCGAAACAAAAAACGGTGTTTACACTGCTATAACGGCCAAGGAGTTGTAGCAGACTGTGTTTGCATTTATTAGAAAAGGTGTTTTATGCCAATGCAATAGCTAAACAGTCTTTATGTTATATTTTGGCCTCTATAGTGATTTATGAAAGTTAACTAGGTTTAGAAAATGATGTCATTTAACACCTAACGGGTCATGCGTGTCCGTGTTACAAAGGCTGCTTATAAAGTTTCGGTCTTGATGTTATATGCTAACTGTTAAATTCCTCAGTATTCATGGAAAAAATGGTGTGATACGTTGACAAATAACGGAAGATCAAGAAGAGCCCTATGCCATTACAAGATTAAGGGGAGCATTACAGTTGAATCGTCCAATATAACGTTTATTAAGAACGTGGTAGAGAGTAAGATTTCAAAAAGGAGGAAGTGGTTCAAAAAACGGTTGCTTCGCCATTAGAACAATAGCGTTATGCCATTATAACGGCGACGAACGTTTTCTCAAAGTATCGCCTGTTGGGTTCAAGGCCATAGCTCACCTGCAAAACGCTTTGAGAGAGAGAGAGAGAGAGAGAGAGAGAGTCACCTGTGTATGATGTGAGGGATACAACTGTGGTGCAAGAATGCGAGCCCGCGAGCTGCACCGACTGCGATCTTGCGCCGAGCCGGCCAGTCGAGCTTTGGCGCACCGTTCTTTCGATGGTGCAAGACATCCTCTAAGCTCCCATGTTTCATATACTCATAAACTAACAACCTCTCTTCTCCAACCTTACAATACCCCAACAATGGCACCAAATTCCTATGCTTAATCTTCCCTATGGTCTCCATCTCAGCTGTAAACTCTCTATCTCCTTGACCACTAACATGTATCAGTTTCTTTATAGCAGCCACCGATCCATCTCTCAATTGCGCCTTATAAACATCGCCAAATCCACCTGATCCAATAAGGCTATCACCATGAAATCCATTTGTTGCCTCCAATAAATCAGCAAAAGTTAATTTCCGCAATGGCTTCTCGAAAGCTGCTAAATTTATACTGAGAGCTTCTCGTCCACCGCTGAACTTCCATCCCGACCCACCAACCATTGTTGTTCCATCTGTGTTGCCATTTCCGGCCAGAGAGTCGATGTAAACGTTGGAGCTCTGTTTCTTTCTCCGTTTTTGGCTTTCAATTGCCACAATTATGAGACCAAAGATACAAAACAGTGAGAAGAGCAAACCCATGGCAACGCTTCCTGCTAAAGAAGCTTGCCTTCTATGCGACCCCTGTGGTCTCACAGACCCATTCAAGCCACTCGAGTCAGAGTCACAAGAAGGCAATGGAAACCCACAAAGTCCTGAATTGTTCTCATATCGAAAAGCTGGAAATGTAGCCAATTGACCCAATTCAGGTATCGATCCAGTGAGGTTATTATTCGACAAATCGATATCAGATAAACCAGATAACGCCGAGAAAGAAGGTGGTATAGGCCCACTAAGCTCATTATGAGAAAGATCCAGAATACCCACATTCTTCAATCTCCCTAAATTGGCCGGTATCTGACCAGAAAATCGATTATGGCCCAAATTCAACACTGACAAATAATAAATTGACCCTATTTCAGCCGGAATCTCACCAGACAATTGGTTATACGATAAGTCGAGGAAGATCATTGAACCATTGTTCTTAAATGTGTAACTTGTTTTACCCAAATATATACGAGTGAAATTGCAAGATCGACGAGTTGGTACTCTCGCTAAATTTTCAGTTCTTATTCCAGCCATTTCTAGCAAATTTCCAGCTCCATGGCAATTAGAACTACCATCATTTCTAAGATATGCATAGGTTTTGCCTGTTACCAAACCAGCTGCTATGTTTCCTGATTGGTTTGCTATAGAACCAGGAACTAAGCCAGAGAGATTGTTGCTATTTAGATCAAGCCATATCAAGCTTTTACAGTCACCAATTTCTTGAGGGATTGGACCAGAGAGAGAGTTGTTACCAAGCTGGAGAATGGCTAGCTTGCTGAGCTTTCCAATCCATGGTGGTATGGGACCAGAGAGCCTGTTGCTAGAGAGAGAAATCCAATTGAGATTTGCGCAATTGGAAAGACCAGAGGGGAGGTTGCCGGTAAGGCCATTGTTGTCGAGAATGAGGTTAGAGAGAGAATGGAGGTTCGAGAGCTCTTGGGGTATCTCACCTTCGAGCTGGTTAAGCCACATTATTAGGTCTTGGAGCTTTTGCAGAGAGCCCAAGCTTCGGGGGATGGTGCCTTTGAGGTAGTTGAAGCTGAGATCTAGAGAGACGAGCTCTGAACAATTGCTGAGGGTTTCAGGAATGGTCCCTGATAAGAGATTGTTTTGGAGGTAGAGCTCTCTTAAAGAGAGAAGAGTTTCAGACGTTTCAGGGTTTTTGCAGAGGTTTCCAGGGATGGTGCCTGAGATTGAGTTGGAGCTGAGGTCAAGAAGTTGGAGGCTTGAGAGGTTAGAGAGAGAATCAGGCAAATAGCCACTGATGTAGTTGTAAGACAGAACCAGCTTCTTGAGGTTGGCCATGGCTGAAAGAGATTGAATGGGGAATGGACCAGAGAGACTATTGTTAGAAAGATCTATGGATTCCAGCAAAGCGCAAGAAGAGAGAGAGAGAGGGATGGGGCCTGAGATGTTGTTATAAGAGATATCAAGTTGGAGAAGGTTTGAACAAGAAGAAGATAACTGAGAAGGGATTTCACCGACCAGGCCATTACCAGAGAGATTCAGGTACTGGAGATTCCGGCCAAAATCAGCTGGAATCCCGCCTGAAAACTGGTTTACCGACAAGTTCAGGAAGGTCAGCTCCTTGTAGCCCGAAAACTTCGCCTCAATATCACCGGAAAATGAGTTCTGGGACAAATCCAGGTGCTTTAGAGTCAGGGAACCTAAAGCAGGGAGCTCGCCTGAAAAGTTGTTGGCTGAAAGGTCAAGGAACTCTAAATTTGGGCAACCGGAAACAATTGCCGACACATTTCCAGCCACTCTGTTTCCTCTGAGGTCGAGGTACTCTAGGGTTTCACAGTCACCGGAAAATAGCCATGAAAATATTCCGGCGCCAGAGATCTGGTTATAAGAGAGGTCGAGGCTCTGAAACTTAAGGCTTGACCCGCCGGAAAATGTTCCAGCCGCCGAAAAACTGAGACTGTTTCTCGAGAGGTTCAGGGCCTTGAGGTTTTCACAGGAGCTGAGAGAGGCGATTGCCGGGACCTCGCCAGAAAATCCATTTCCGGCGAGATCAAGCTCCGTGAGAGACTTCGAGCAAGAAGAAACCAGCTGTGAAGTCACAGAGCCGCTAATGTTGGCGAAGTTTAGAGAGAGAGTCTCCAGCTTCTCTAAATTCAGCAGGAATGATGCGACGTTCTTGAAATCAGTGCTTAGAGCCTGGTTACTGAGATCAATGGAGGAAACTCTCGAATCTTTGCACGCAACGCCATTAAAGTAGCAAGGGTCTTGATTTGGCCGCCAATTTTGGAGTGGATAAGGGTTTTGGACCGTACCTTTGAAGGAAAGGAGTTGCAGAGTGTCTTTAGATGAACCAGAAGAAGGTGACGGAGAAGCCACAGAAGCCTCTGGTACTGCAATGGCGGACAAGATGGCGACGATGAAGTAGAGCTCCATCATGAAGCTTGAAGGCACGAGGTGGCTCATTTTCTCTACAATCTCGCGGTTTCCACCATTGTTGAGCGGCAAAGAAATGGGTTGCAGAAAGAGCGAGGAAGAAGAACTCTAGAGAGAAAGCTAGCTCCTGAGGACAGTCTAGAGAGGGAAAGTATTGAATTAAGCTTCTAAACACTTTCAGAGAGACAGAGGAGGGCGAAGAGAGAGAGACAGTCTGAGCTCCTGAACGCGGACAGTCTAGAGAGAGAAAAGCAAGCTTTTGTGACAATCTTGGAGAGAGAAAGTGGGGCGAACAAGAAGAGAGATACTGAGCTCCTGCAACGCCAAAGAGAGCTCTTACAGAGCTAGAGAGAGAAAGTAAGGTGCATTTAGAGAGGGAGTGAGGCAGAGAGAGTGGACAGTCAAAAGACAAGAGAAAGAGTTAGAAAGGGGTATTTATAGAGAGAGAATGACAGTCTCGGTCTCAGACAGAGGAACCTAGAGAGAGAGAGAGGAGGTTCAATAGGAGTCATAGAGAGAGACGAGGTAGGAGTAGTAGAGAGAGAAGAGAGGTAGGTAGAGAGAGAGAGAGAGAGAGAGAGAGAGGTTTTTGCAATGAACAGCTGGTGGTCACATGGCATGTGAGCAGAGGTTCGGTCGTGGGTTTTGGACTCTGCCTTGTTGAGTGAGAAGGGGCGTGCTTTATGCTTTGGGAATGGGAAAACTATTATTTTGACCTATTCGACTCAAATGACTATTGTACCCCTCATCCCCATAATTTCTCGCAACTGACGAGGGGTAATTACTCGGATTCCATTTTATAAGGGAAAGATATATCACCCATATTGAACTAGTAGTTAAATTGTTAACTGAAGCTTTGGCGATACATAAGATTTATATTTAGAGAGAGAGAGATGGGTATTCACACAAGAGACAAGCAAAAATATTTTATGCTTCCGCGGGACCATTTCTTAGATTCACTTTCGACCGTACCTTAGATTCACTTTCGTAGGTAGAGGCTTACGAGATTAATATGATGCCTGCAAATTCCATGCTTCCGAAGGAGTATACTGTCTATTTAGTGTAACTTAATATAGTGATTTTAGGAATGGTGCAGTTGGCAAACAGATGCTTCTGTAGCTGTAGAGATAAGGTGCACCTTCAAATTTTATCATGGTATATATTTTTGATGTAAAATGTCTTTAAGATTATCTCAAAATCTATTTTTATATCTAATTATACATTTTTAAATTAAAAAATAGTTAAAATCAAATAAATCTATAAACATATGAAAATCTTGAAAGTGGATGGTATAGATAATATATTGTAAAAGGTACTGTTTTTTATACTTAAAATATTTTTATTTTGCATGTTCTTACACCTCGATGTTAAGATAATCAATCAAAGGGTTTTTCAACATTAAAACTATATAAACATTAAGGTTGCAACCGTATGTAAACTTTTTTCTTTAGGAATTGAGATTTTGGGATGTAAGATCGTCAACTCATAGACTGACTCCAAAAAAATTCTAAAATCACTTTATATGCACTTAACAAAAAAATAGAATCTTAAAATTATATCGAGGTTGTCTAATTTTTTTTAGTTAGATATTTAAGTGTTGGGAAGCCTAAAAATTCAAATTTTTTCAAAGTAATCATTTACTAATTCTTGAGGTGGTTTCTTAAATTTTAAAATTAAAAAAATTCTTTCAAGTAGATTTTTACAAAAAAAAAGAGAAAAAGAGCAAGTTTTATGTATGACCCCACTTCTCAGCCATTCGATCTGAATCAACTACAATGAATGTTTATGCATCACATTTCCTTAGTGCACCGAGAAAAAAAAGAAAAAAAATTTCTTATAATAATAAATGAGCAAAATGCCTTGAAAGTTTTAGGGGTAAGTAATTTTTATCACAAGAAAATTTTTTTTTTTCTTTTTTTATCATCATGTGTGCCTTTATCAAATGTATGCATGCTCCAAATTTTACTGTAATCAAGAGCCAACTTGTGATATTGTGAATCATGCCATCTACTCAGATCATACGGTTGAAACCAGGGTTACATATGCTATACATGTAAAGCTTTTCCAAGAGGGAAAAAAAAAAAAGCATACAGCCTTGGGCCTGAAAAAGATAATACCTTGAGATCGAACGAAGACTAATTTTCAGATTGTTTGAAACAAGTGTTTAGAAACTCAAAATCAAAATGATCGACTATTTTACTAGAAGTAATATGGCCCAAACGATAAAAATTTAAGTCTCTTTCTATCCTATCTTTCAAACAATGCACATATAAAATGAGGAGAGAGAGAGGGGTTAAAGCTATTATTTTTTAGAGAGAGAAAGGCTAAAGCAAGTAGTTTTAGAGAGAGAGAGAATACCCTTCAACTACCATAGGACAACTTTTTTCAAATTTTAGAACCACCATGATTGCTAGGGATTTCCAAGTTTGTGCAACACCATGAGAGTTAGCTGTCTTCCTTTGTTTGCATTGCACCTCTCTTTTCAACGATGAGTAGGTAGGGAGCATCAAAGCTGATTTGCTGCTTAGTGTTATGGTTAAATCTTTGAAAAAGTGATATAAAATAAAAATAAAGGTTAAACATTATTTTAAGGGACGTGGTTTGTATAAGGCCAAGGCCAGGCCGTCATATTTAGTAAGGTGTACCTTTAAATAGTATTGAAATATGTTGAAATCTTTTTGACGGGTTTAAATTTTATTTTTATTTTTAATTATAAAATTAAAAGTTTAAAAAATATTGTAAATTGAGCATATCTATTAGCATTTGAAAATCTTAAAAATTGACTGTACAGATAATGCATTACAAGATGCACTATTTACGAGACTTGAAATCTATTTTTTCTTATGTCCATACAGGTTGAGATGATCGATTTGAATAATTGTGGACCTCAATTCAACCTCTTCTAATGAAATTTGGAGGTGCATCATAATTTGATTGTTTAGGGCATCATCTTTACATAAACTTTTTCTTGTTTAAGTTTTCCTTATAAGTCCATAAAAACTATTCTTTGATCTTTATCAAAAATTAAGAATGGGGGAAGTTTGTACAAGGTGCCTACCTTATATTATATGAGTGAGGCTTGTCTTTAAAATTTGCCTGGGGATGTAGTTGACTAGTCATAATTTTTATGATAAATTGAAAATTCATGTGAAATTTTAATTATAAAATTTTAAATTCTATAAAACTAATAGGGATTAAGCATATCTATAAACACTTGAAAACCAAAAATAGCCTCAAGGAGCGTATAGCATGATCTTTTGAGGGCATATGGAAGGTCAATTCTTTCAGGAATACACTGTAAGATAAAAATTTGGTCCATATTTGATAAGATTTAAGTTCAAAACAAGAAAACAATCGAAATCTCAAAAAAATCAGTTGCCCGGGGTTTTAGACACCACAGTCTGCATCGTCAGGCCCAGAAACCCTAAAACGTCGTGTTGTGTGGATCTAACCTTTGAAGCCCGAGAAACCTGATGACTTAGAGCCATAGACACGTTTTCTAACCCCAAACACTGCAGGGTTCGGTGTCCACCGCCTTTGATCCAGTCACATCAAAATTTTGAAAAGAATCCAATAGATTGACTCCCAAACTGACTAGGAACAAACTTAAAAACCTAGAAAAGGGTTTTATTTCGACACATAATTTTAGATAGAAACCCTAGAAATTTTAGAATCCCAAGGCCTAAACCCTAGTTTACTAAACCTTAATTCTTGATAAAACCTTAGCTTCGGTCATTTAATCTTATCCCTAGAGCCTTAAGCCTTCAAAATTATATATCTTAAAAACAATGATTTTAGATCTAGGCTACAAAACACTGATACAATTTTAATATCTTTTCAACCATTCGTAATTAGAATTTTAGCCAATTTCAAAATTAGAATTCAATCAAATTCAAATAGAAAAAAAAAAAAAAAGCTTAAATAACTTACGGTCTTGATATAGACGGCCACTTTGGGTTCGGGTATCCCGGGCCAAGTGGCCTGAGTAGATAAGTTTCCTTTCCATTTTCTTCTCTAATTTTAACTAATTGAATTGTTATAAAATTTCTTTATTTTCTATCAACAATCTAAAGGAAAATTGGTCACTACGGGTTGATTGGCCTTTAAATCATAATTTGATTGTACCCACAAAATCTCTATCGTTATTTTAATTAGCTAAATTTGTAGTGATAAGGGATTCCGCCTTGAAATCTTCTCAATTCGCTCAGTTTTACTCTTAATTAACTATGTAACATATCCTTAGACAAAAATGTTACTGCATTGCTAGATAAGGCTACAAAGTATCTAAAAATATTGAGTACGTTAAAGAAATACTCCATCTATTGGAGCACCCTAACCTAACTCATATTTCAAATAGGAAAAGTATATAATAAAACTATTTATCTTTAATACAATATGGTCATAATTATTCTTGACTATTGGATGTGAAATTAGATGGTTGCATTTATTCTATGTATCAAGCTCAAACTTGCAAAAAAAAAAAATTCGAATTTTGTGACATACTGAAACTATCATATTTCACTTCAGATGATTGTAAGTAATGGTGGCCATTTTGTATTAAAGGTAAATAGTATCATTCTATATAATCCCTTTGAAATATTATAAAACTTGATAAATGGACCCCCGGGTTGAAATTTTGGCATTTATGTTCACCGGTGGCGGCTTGGTGTACCATTTTGATGGGGGTGTTCCAATCAAATTCGATGGTGGCTCTTTCCTTTGTTCCATAGTCTAAGCTCTAAGGAATAAAAGCATATGCTCCCATGGGAGCAAATTGTACACTTGCTTCCTCAAGTCAAAACTTCTTTAGAAATATTTTGAAGAGTATAATCTACTCAACTTAGGGATCAACTTAAAAAATAATAATCCAACGATGCAAACTTTAAAAGTACCTAGAAAAAAAATTCACACATCATCCCATGTTTTAAACAATCATTTTCTTTCAATATGCTTTTCTAATGATACTCAAAATATGAAATTTAATAAATCCTCATACCCTTGGTGTTTTGTCCAAGGGAGCAAATGTACAATTTGCTCATGCAAAAACATGTTACATTCCTAATTTGAAAAGAAACAACCCAAGTGCATTCACTCACTAGCTATGTTTTTATGTTTTCATATTGCAATTCATTGGCTGGCTTCTTATATTGGCCTTAATGATTCTTTATTTGGAAAAAGTTATTTGGCTTCTTATTTTGGGTTATAACCCAAAAAAGAGAGTTTTTTTTTAAGAGAAAGGCTGAGTTTGTATGACCACTAATAACAAACAAAAACAAGAAAAAAGTTATCAACCATTTGGGTTATGTTTAGCCTCTTGTATTGGATCATGATGGTTTTTATTGTAAGATATAATTGGATTTGTTTGGCCAGTACTTGGCTTCTTATCTTGGGTCTTTTTCTTAGCATTTAAAAAGTGCTTTTTCTTAGCTCCAACAACTTGTGGATTTATGAATTCATATGAAAAGTGGCTTGGGTGAGTTTGAGTTAGACCGAGC